AACCCTAACCTTAGCCCTAAACCTAACACCTTAACCCTAGTCCTACCCCAGACCCAAACTCCACGTGAAAATACAGTACTAACTAATCCTAACCCCATAACCCTAACCCCTTAACCCTAGCCCTAACCCGAACTCCATTTTGAAAATAAAGTAATAACTAACCCTAACGCAAGCCCTATACCTAACCCCCCTAACCCATAACCCCTTAACCCCAACCCTAATCCAAACTCCATTTTGAAAATACAACTAACCCTAACCCCGTAACCCTAACCCTAGCCGTAAACTCGTGGCCAATGAGGCACGGATTAACTAAATGACAGCATTAAGTTTCAGTCAGATCAAAATTAAATCTAACGTGGGTTACTTTTGTGGGGGGAAACTGAATGGGCTATGCGCCTTTTCCGGCGACAATGGCGTAAGACCAAAAACTTACTGGTTTGACACCCATCACATTCTCGCTGTCTTTTCTGTTGTTGAAATTCCAGCAACTAAGGAATGTTCGTTTCTTTTGAGTTGATGTCATCATTTTCCTGCATGTGTTTTTCGGGCAGACCTGTCTGGCCAGTGATGGATCAACCATTCACAAGAAAGAGCGGCAGATGCAACGCATTTGTCGCAGCTTCGGGGAAACCCAAGAAGATATGAGACGTATCGTTTGAGAGAATTTCTCTTTTACTTATTGGTGGACACCTTGAATCCAGTAAAATTAAATCATGATTCATATATACTTAGTCTAACCATTCTTGCAGGTTGGAAGATCGTCACATGGCCAGTCTTATAAATGGTTAGTAAAGTATCGACCAGCTAAGCTCGAACATTTTTCCCCCGAGTCACATGAAATTTAGACTCCTCTGAATTCTGGTCGCTCTTCTTTTGTGTTGGTTGAACATTCTCATAGTTCTATTACGTTTGCACAAATAAACGATCTTTAAAACACACTTGATTTCAATGGATGATTTAAACTGGTGCAATCGAAATCTGCCAGCTTGGGGGAAAAGGTCTGGCGTTTGTGTGTACCCCCCCCCCCCAGATATTTCAGTAAACTGCTTCGCTACTTTCAGTCAGTCCGAATGAATATTTTATTGCCGTTCCTTTCAAAATGTTGATAGAAATTAAATTCATTTTGAGCCCAGGCTGTACATTAAATATTTCATTCAAAAGCACTTTTATTACTCCCATTTCTGCAGGGCATTAAAATGAACATGCATAACAAACCTGACCAGTGATGAGAGGGTTAGTACTGTGATGTTCAACAAACATCTTCAGAAGAAATTGTTTTCTTTGTGGATATGAGAATGAACTTAGCAACGTGAACTCATGTGACCTGTCTTAGTTGTCACAGCTTATGTAAAGTCCCTTCTCACACTTAATTTTGGCTATGCAGCATTAACAGCGTTACCTGATATGGTGAGTCCAATTATTCACACTAATTCAGCATGTTTTCGGTTTTCTCCATAGGCACTGCCAATGAAACAACCTTTTAAGCCATCCTTAATTTCATTTAAAACTTTGTAATTTTTTTTAAACTGGAGGTCTTAGAGTGGTGATAACCTTTTTTAGAAAACGTGCAGTGAAAGTCTAAATGAGGCTTGGCACAAAAAGACTTAGGAGAAGAAATTTGGAGCATGGAGCTTCTCTCTGTCTGCCAAAATGCACTGCCTGACAAGTCAAGCAAGTATGGATAAAGCCTGGTTTCCATATGGTCGTTTATAATGCAGACGGTTCACAACACGTCAAGACGCGGACAGTCGCAGAAAAGACGCTGTGCGACATCATTCCACCAAAAAAATTAAACAAAATGGCGTGCGAAACTCAGTGCGAAACAATTTCCACAAAGAATGACTTTTTCAGGTTGCAATGCTGCCTCTTGAAGCCGAACTGGTACTCCAGTTTGGTTTAGTTTGTTAATGGTCAGCTATTTTGTTGACGTTTGGGGCTAAATATGCTAGCAATAAGGAGAACATGGACCAAATGAGTGGTACTAAGCCACAGAAGCATCGCTTTACGCCCGTCATGCTTGCGTGCGCGTTTGTATGGGCCTACTTCTCAGCGACTTGACGCAGACAGTCGGAAAAGTTGAACTGTGTTACTCTCTGCGTTTCTCACATCGACATGGAAACCAGGCTTTACACTTACAACATGGAATGGCCCGAGAAGAATGGAACATGTTGAAAGGGTGTCTCAATATGTCACTTCTGCGCCTCCGTCACACTTTTTTTCTTTGCAGATATTACAAAAATACACAATTGGTACAAAAGTTCCAGTGGAGATTACGCCGTGTGTTTTAAGTGAAAATTCAATGTACATGTAACACCTTGAATTCCAGGAAGTTTATGATTAAATTCCGAAAAGCTCCGACCGAATACAAGTACATATGTACCATGATTGGATGTAACATAATTGGCTCAAACAAATCCTATCAGAAACTGCAGTGTTAGCATTTGTGTAATTAAGATGGGTAGGGTGAGAGTTAGAATGAAATTCAACAAAACAATTGAAGAACGAAATATACATAATATAGGGGGAAAGGCAAATTTCAGAGAAAAACTGCAAATTTAGAGGAAGAAAATGCAAATTTGAGATGAAAAAAAGGCAAATTTGGAGAAAAAAAGTATCCCCGTCAATAAAATCAATCATATTAGTAAAAGACATATATACTAATTTACTTAACAGTAAAGAAATTTGAATAATTTATAAGCCTTGTCAAGACAAATTATTAAAACTGAGGAAAGACCGCTGATTTTGATCACTGCAGGCATGGCACTCAGTCATATCTATGAAAAAAGTCATCAGGTCATGAAGCCAACTTCAGGGTATTTGGCACAAAACCCACCTTTTTAACAAACTGTACAATTTCAAATAAATATTTACAACAAAATTTTAAGTAGGACATCATCCTGTTCCCTACTGACAACTTGACATGTTTGCTATTGTAATTTATATCTAGCTTTAGATTTAAAAAAATAGGCATATTATTACTGTTCATGATTACCTCCAAAGAGTCAATAAATACTCCAAATGATTGGGCATGGGACATCTGATCGATAACTACAAATGTGAAGCATAAACAACATCTAAAATATCCTAAAATGGAGAAAATTTAACCCCAAAAAGAAATTGTTGACAATGTAACACTAAGTACACCTTAGGAAACCTGAAAAATCAGTTCAATGTAGATCGTTGAGATCAATTAACCTCTCCTCTTCTGGACAAGTCCATACCCCTGTATATCTCGTTCAGTGTGAAAACCGCTTTGCAATTTAGTTATGTCACTAAGTCTAATATAAACCCGCTTCAATAGCCTACCAATTCAACAAAACGATCCTCAGAGAGAAAAAATCATCACTGATTTAACAAAGGGAAAGGCGCGTGGATATTGCAAAAAAAATGTTTTCGAGTTAACTACAAGAGAAGTTTCTCCCATTCAAAATTGCATTACCTCCTTTGCAATAACTTTACGGGGTAAGAAAACCTTCATATGATTCTTGGAAAGGTAGACGGTTACCTGAACCCAGTATTCAGAATAAACATAGTAGTTAATTAGTCCAAAATCATTCCTGGAGATGCAAGACCCTTTGTGAAAACGAAAATCCACGCTTTCCTTCATTTATGCCCTTCTGTTCAATGCGTTTTTCAACAGGGCAGGCAGATGTATGTTTCCGCAGGTGCTAAGCTGTGAATGTGACAAAGGATGCTCGTCTCTTCATGAAAACAAAAGTATCAGTTATCTACTTTTATGCCTATCTGGGCAATACATTTTGCACATGTTTATGGGACAGGCATGTTCGCACCTCAACATGAAAATGCAAAATGCACTTGTTGTGAACCCTAACCTTAATATCTTTAATGTAATTTAAAATTAATGATGTTTGCTAATGGAATTATGTCAAAATGGTTGCGTACGACATTTTAATGCAAAATAGTGAAAATCAATTCATAAATCTATTCATTTTTTTTTCTGCTTGCCTCTTAAATAAGAAATGAAATACATTGCCTTCTGTCCAAGAACATTCACTCTTTGGTGGATCTTTACTTAAAATCATTCAGGTAAGAAAGAAAAGGCACATGATTACCAAATTAGAGACTAAAGACGTAAATATAACGGCTGTAGAAAAGTACTCAAAAAGGATAATCCCTCCACCACAATTTCAGAATAACTTTACAGAGCCATTTCTGTAAAACGTCTTGAAATACTGTTATTACAAACTATGAAAAAGGGCTTCTTATCACATCAGTAAGAAAGCAGGGAAACACCAAGGACTGTACAAGCCGGAACGTGTCCATGCCAAAACTGCCGACTGATTGGCAGGAAACAAACACAGCTGAGGACGTCCACATTTGTCAAACACCAGAACGGCACGTAAGAGGTTGTGGGTCCCAGCCTGAATTCAGTCCAACTGTCTCCCAGCATCCGTCCCTTGCTCAGTTACATCCTCCAAATGGATTCTATATTCGCTTGTCATGACTTGCCCCGTATTTTGCTGTAGAAACACTGTTACAGTTTAGGGCCGGCGACTATTTAGACCCGGTTTGAAAAGGGCCCTCCCGGTAAGCTCGCCCTGTTGCAAAAACCCCTTTCATACCGGCCTGGCTTCCGGCCTGGGATGCTGGACTGGTTGTTGATCTCGAACTTCTCCATCCTGGGGTCTATTGTTTGCAAGTACTGGTACATGTAATCTATCCCTGAAGAAACCTGCCTGTGGTTTTTAATCCTTCAGCGCTGTACAACGCTGAACCCTTCACCGGCAGAGATCAAAGTCCCTGCCATGCGATTAGGCACACATTGGGGACCATTAATCATCAACACTTTTGATCTCCAAACTTATTACAGTCAAGTACTCTCGCCAGCACATGAAATCCATTGCCACCTTTTTATGTTCGAGTTTAAATTTGTTTAGACTCCTATTCATCTGTGGAAGCATGGTGGGGGAAGCCTTTCATCAGGGACTTTGAAATGCCGAATTGCAGACAGGCCTGATACCGGCCTGGAGTAGCCTGAATACCGGGCAGGCATTATACAGGGCGGGCTACCGGGGGGGCTACCTTTTCAAACTGGGTCTAAATGGTCGCCGGCCGTTAAGTCAGCAGCACACTACAAGGAATGCCAAACTGATCCTTTGATACATTCACATAACACCCTCCGATTCACTCTATTTGGAGTGTCTACTGATAAGGTGTGCCATCCTCCAAACCACCTTGCGGGGACAACATTTGGCATACGGGCCAACTGGCCTAAACTTACACGAAGGGTGCAAAGGCAGTCACAAGACAGCTCTCATGACAAAGACACAGAGCCATCTGGAGACAATTCAAGAAACAAGGAGCTAGGGTGAATCATGCCTCTAGCACAAAGAAAACTGTTCACATGGGCCAGATCTATCCCGTACTGATGTGACAATGTGTGATGATGGTCAAGGGCGGATCCAGGACGGCCAATGGGGCTATAGCTCCACCCCCCCAACTGAAAAAGAGAGATTTTTTTCAAACAAGAGGAAGACTGAAAGACAATAATTTGGTCTACTTCATTTCCCCTCCTTCCAAAAGCGTGTAAAACACTCGGAAAGGCCATTAAATGTTCCCCCCCAAAAAATGTCCAAATCTTTGCCCCTCCTCCCCCCAACCAAAAAAACAAGTTTGGCCCATCAACGACTGGGTCCTGGATCCGACCTTGACGATGATCACCTGAATCATGAACCTTCAGGGGGGTGGTCAGTGGAACTGAACCCGGTAAGTGTTGATCTCCATAGGCTCCAGGGTGAACTCCGAATCCACTTCCATCTCGTCGCTGTCGTACAGCCCTGATAACGAGGTGGCTTGCAGACTCCGGAGATTCAGGTTCTGGAAGAGATTTCTGACAGCGACCTGGAAAAGAAGACATTTTGATGTTCATGTTCAATGCTGAGGGATCTATCGAGGACATGGTCACTTCATGGGCAAAAGTGCCGTGGTGACAAATCTTGAAGCGTTTCAAGACAAGGAGGGTTTAGCATTAAGACTCATTTTTGTGAGCTCAAGTCAGAAATAAGGGTTGCTACACATGTACTGTTCAAAAGTCACACTAACAGCAACCAGTGTTGTAGTCAAGGCCATCACCAGACCAGGCACCAGACCAGGCACAAGACCTGTCACAAGACCAGGCACGAGACCAGGCACGAGACCTGTCACATGACCTGTCAAAAGACCTGTCACAAGACCTGTCACAAGTAGTTGGGCGAACGATAACAATTGAATGCTTGTGTTCTGGTTCATTTGTATAAGCATGTGTCTTGAATGCAGACTGCAGGTCTTGTGTTTGTCTCGTCTTTTCTTATGGGGCCCAGTGATGGTGGTAAGGGTCCTGACTACAGCACCGACAGTGAAGTGAACACTGAATAAGGACTGTCATGATTACAGTTTACTGAGAATAGCTTTTGGCTCAAATTACGACTGGGGTACTTGTGAAGTACTCCTGATATGGTGCTTTCAATGACCTGCATTATCCCCTCACCTTACCACCGTTGGTGGAGCAAGACAGGGCCACCCCGGGGTACCGGCAATCAAACCCCATCCGGTGAAGCAGCAGGAATGCCTCCCGCTTGGCCTCCACCATGACCTCGCTCTGTTGGACTCGGGTTCGCAGGTTCAGCAGGTGCATGTCACAGGGGAATGCCTCGTCCAGCATCTGGTACTCGGGCAGCAGCTGGCCACTGGGCTCTTGGCTCTCGGGGAGGGCGGTGTGGATGTAGAGCGGGTGGTCCAGGGAGAGGGAAGCCGCCTGGCCCAGGAGGGAGGAGAAGCCCGCCGGCTGTGGTGGGCTCTGTGAGTATTGACAAAGTTGTTTTCAAATCAAGGTTTTTCCTTGCTAACCCTCATTTTAGAAATCAATTTCTCACACAACCTTTTCATTCGATAAAGGTAAGCTCATACCATAAAAACTGTAATTGTCACAAAACAGAACGGCCAATAATTTCAACTTTTTAGAAGTCCAGGACATAAAAACAAACCAGGGACAACAGATGAAAAAAAACCAGGAGGTATGTTAAGGTTCTGCTCACCACCACCTGACCCATCAGACTTTGTAGTATACATCGTAAGTTATCTATTTAACCACTCCCTGCCGGGCGACCCGTTTTCGAGTACAGAGGCTTTATATGCAGAGCCAGGGAGCCCAAACTGGGACAAAAGAGTTGGGCCTTTTAACAAAAGACCATGCTCAGCACAAAAGACTGAGCTGCTGGGCATTACCAACATTTTTTCGCTCTATATAGTGGAGATAATCCAGCCTTGTTTTGAAACAGTATACCAGGGTTTGAGGCATTTAGAGGGAGCGGATTACCACCAGGGACAAAAGCTCTCCACCACCGCAGCAATGAACCACATAGCACTGCTGCATGCTAATCTGGCCCCTATTGAAAAGAGGTCAGCAGTGCACTTTGCCGGTTTCGGGAACAAAAGAATCTTATGTAACACTGCACAATCAGGGCTCTTTTTCCAAGGCTGCAGGCCTGGCTGAAATATTCAGGAGTCAATGAATTTTACCTGTCAGCTTTAAAGTAGCGCCCAAAGAGTCCTTCATTTTGGTATTAACGGCCATTAAATGAAATGATGAATTTTTGAAAAATTTTGAAAATGGAAAATCTTGAAAATGAGCCGGCATCTTGTCTTGCTCAAGAAAAATCCCCCCGGCAGCAAGTGGTTGAGTCTCACTGTACTGTACCTGTGCATGCACTTCCCTAAGCAATAAGTATTAATACTCTATTATTAATTTTTTGCATTTCCCATCTGCTCATTTCTGTACTTTTTATGTCATGCATATTATTATTCCCATTCATGTAAGATGTGGCTCTATGTGTCCCGAGTGGACATCTCTTCTCCGTGATATTTATCCATTGCAAAAAAGTAAACCACAGCAAAACCGGAGCTCAGCAACATTCTCAAGCCTCCGGATATTTTTTTCATGCCCTGCCAAACGCCATGGCCCCAAAGAAATCTTAACCTCCACCCGCCTTGGGTCACCCCTCTTGAGAGTTGGGACTTGGCCTGACCTGGTTTGTAGCATCGGTTCGCTCCAGGAGGATCTGGTAGGACAGTGCCGTGATCTTGTTGTCTAAGACACCCTGCTGAACCCCTCGACTGTCGTCCTGGTTCAACCGGCGATCCAGGACCACGTCAAACCAGCCTTTGGACAAGAGAGAAGAGAGCAAACAATTTTTTAAGAAGAGGGAGGAGAGAGCTGATGATAAGGACCCCATTCACAAACGGCAGTAAGTGGACAAGTAACAAAACTTGTTCACTGCATTTCTTGGCGGACATAATCAGCCAAAGTAAACTGAGAGTAAGCTTGCCTCAACAAGTATGAATTATCAAGTTGGTTTTAGGTGCTCCAGCTGGCAGTGCATTATGGGAAAGATTTCCTTTGTGAGATAATGTTTGATCCAAGTCAGATTTAAAAGTGTTCTAAGTCATAGCCATAGGTGTTAAAAACAGCCTTTCTGACATCTTTGACATTTGATGAAAGGCCTTTGCTTTGGTTACCAACCAAACTAAATCCTATGAAGCATGTAGAATATGACGAGTGGACAGTATGCAGTGCTATAAAAGCGGCTCCAGTTCAATGGTTATTAATGATTTATGCTTATTTCCCAGTATATTTCTGCATCCAATACAGGCATACCGGGTTGGAGACTGGCCACTCCAGATGGATGATTGGTAAGCAGGGACAGCCGGGTGTCGCTGGACTCCAAGAAAGCCATGCTGGGCATGGGATAGTAATTGGCTTGGAGGGGCAGCTTGTCCAGAGTCTTACGTTGCTGAAGCTGGTACGATGTCAAAACACAGAAAGCAGAGTGTGAGTAACTCGGTTGTATCGTGAGTTCAGTATTGAAAGGTCTTTTCTATAGACACCTGATTTTTAGCAGACACTCCCAGGTTATACTCTGAAATTGAAAGAAAAATGTCATTCAAAGCCAAGCATGTTTGAGACCATTTTGTTTGCACATCGTCGTGTTCAGGGCAAAAGGCACGCATACGCCCTTTTACCAGGAAGCATGCGCACAGCAGCTAAATACTCCTGGACAAAAAGGCGTAAGAAACACACTTTCCTTATTTAGTAAAAACACATAAATTTACTCCAAAATCAACTCAAGCTGTACAAAAAGCAACATTTGAACAATTTATTCAATGACTTGGGAAACACTTTTTAAGACTTCCAGCAAAGAAATCTTCATATTTCATTAAAATAAAATAGTTGCGTACATACGTCCTTTTTGCGGGAAAAGGTTTTTTGCAGTGATCATGCTTCCCAGCAAAAGGGCCTAAGCCTTCTTCCAGGCACATGACGACATCTAGTTTGGGGGGGGGCCAATGCACTCAAATTTCACCAAATCTTCTCGCCTGATTCCATATTAAGAGAATTAATTTTCGACATGTTTAGAAATCAAAACTTAACACAATGTCCAACCGTGACACATGGAACAAAGTGCGCTCAGTGTTATTCCACGTTTTGTACATGCATGTAACGGTGCGTACATGCTGCATTCACATGCTTGCAAAAACCGTTGGATTCACAAGCATAGTTGGTCCCCTACGTTGGCTATCTGAAGTAAACGCACGTTGCGCGGGGAACCGACAAACAGCTCCTCACAGACTAGATTTTCACATACATGTGTTTCAAAGGACACTGCTTATGCAGTGCCCTGCACTTATCTAAATCAAATCATTCTTTCACACATACAACAAGCGCCTGGAGGTAGGAAAGTACCGTTTCTGTTGAAATTTCTAGGTGCGTAATTCAAGTTCATGTATGAAAATATTCTTGCCAACAAATACCAGAGGTGGAATTTTTTTCCCCAAAAGATGAAAAAGCTGAAATTCCAGCAATTGCTGAAAGTCTGGTATCCCTGATTTGCAAAAATAAAATGACAGTAAGACTTGGAAGCCAAACCAGTCCAGCCGCATTAAATAAGAAAAAAAAATGGCTACCCTCCGAACAATGTCTATTCTTGATTAACACAGTGATGTTTTCTTTAAATAAAGCAGCCGTACGCAAAACTGAGTCCTGCAATAATTTGCACAGCCAAGCACCTTCAAGAAATTGGTCTCAAGACATTAAATTTTGCTTAATCACTCAATGGCAAAAAAAAAAAAAACACAGACAGTTTTCTGCCATACCTGGAAACCATTGAGATCTGTGTAGTATATTCTATCAGGATTCTGCACGTTGGATTTCAATCTCATGATCAACTCCTGGTTGCGGACGCTGCGGATATCCACGACATTCCTAATGTCCAGTACTCTGGAATCCACACCTGCAGACAACAAGAGGATGGATCACGTCATGGTCTTCCTTCACGGGCCTATGGACCCAACCTTTTTTTCCAATCTTGGCTAAGTCGCCGTCTTCAACTCCATCTTCAACTCCACAACCAGTTTCACATATTTACAGGCAGAACCAAACCCGGATTTGTCAGCCCTTGGCCTCACATTAGACAAATACATACTCATCTAGCACTGAGCTCAAGAATTTCAACAAATTCATAAAACTGAGGTGTAATTTGAAGACAGACGAAGCTGAGAATTGGACCCCTCCCCATGCAAGAAATATCTAGACTAGTCTTGAAAGCCTTAAGACCATCCCCAAAAGTACACAACTGAAATTCTTCAAACAAAAAAACACCAACACCACCAACTCTAGCAAAACTGAAACAGGGATCGTCAGGCTCACACAACAGAGAATGGTCTCTCCTGGCCAATCCCCGAGCGGTTTACTCACCAGCACTTTCCTTGATTGTGACATGATGGCTGACCATATTAAAGGAGACATAAACCTCCGACAGCAACGGGCCGCGAACAACTCGGACAAATGGACCGTCCATACTGAGCGGCTGAAGAGGAATCAATAAAAAAAAGTTTTGTTCCAAATTCATAGGACAAATTCAAAACCAGTGACCACCCCATTCTGATGACTTCATTTTTTTTTCCCATGCTGAGAGTAACACGTCAGAGACACAAAACAAACAACGATTTAAAATGAAAAAAACTCACTGGACACAAACTTTAAAAC